GTCTTCTGTAGGCATTATGGTGGCAGTGCACTGCTTCTGTACTGTTTCTGTCCATTTTTTTAAAAAAAGTGTACATTGCTGTTCTTTTTCTCCCACCCCACCAACCGAGGATTGTATTCGGTTGAGTTGTGTGGGGTTATCCCAGGCCTTTCCCCCTGGCAGGCTTCCTACAGTGTAAAATATGCCTATCTCTGGTCGAGGTGCCCTGCCAAAAGGCACGATGGGGCCTTCCTGTGGTAAGAGTTGCATCAAGAACAGTGCAGGTGGTTTGGGCAGTAGCTTCTTTAAAAGAGAAATTCTTGCCCATCCCTCCATTTTAACTCCTTAACTTCCACCAGTGTGAAAAACCTTTTGAGTGTTTTAAATTAGATAAGCATATGGAGCAGAGGTCCATCAGTGGCTATTAGCCACAAGGTATAGATAGGGACTCTGGGGCAAGTGATGCTCTGTTTCTTGGTGCTTGGGGGGGGGGGTCTACAGTGGGAGGGCTTCTAATGTCCTGGCCCCACTGGTGGACCTCCTGATGGCACTGGTATTTCTGGCCACTGTGTGACACAGAGTGTTGGACGGGATGGGCCTTTGGCCTGATCCAACATTGCCACCTCTTATGTTCTTATGTTCTTAAACATAAAAATGAATGTTTCGACTTGTGTGCCTACACAGCAGCTTGAGGCTGTTTTTTCTTTTCTTTTTATCCCCTTCTGGTCAATAGACCTTTTTAAGGTGAGAGCCAGTTTGGTGTAGTGGCTACGTGTGAGAGCCAGTTTGGTGTAGTGGTTAAATGCGCGGACTCTAGTCTGGGAGAACCGGGTTTGATTCCCCACTCCTCTGCTTACAGCTGCTGGATGACCTTGGGCAAGCCCTAGTTCTGACAAGAGCTGTCCTTGAAAGAGCAGTTCTCAAGAGAGCTCTCTCAGCCCCTCCCGCCTCACAGGGTGTCTGTTGTGGGCAGGGGAAGGGAAAGGAGTTTGTAAGCCGCTCTGAGACTCTGAGTGAAGGGCAGGGTATAAATCCAATCTCTTCTCCTCCTCCTCTTCTTCTTAAACCATAGCAAGCTTCCTCTATGTACTGTGCCAGTGACTTGTAATTCCTCCATCTCCGTCCATGGGTTATTTTTCCCTAGGACCCGGCTGTCGGTTCCATGCACACACACACCTCTGCTCCCCAGGATGCCAGCATGTGAGAAGTTGTTGGACTTTGGATCTTGGAATCGTGCCACCCCCTCTGCTCTAATAAAGCTAATCACTCTGTCCGCGTTGTACCTTTGCATCCTTGCAACACCTCTCCCGCCTTCAGACTGGGACGCAAGGACACTGAGGTCTCCGTTCCAGCTCATATCTGATGAAGGGAGCTTAGGGTCTCAAAAGCTTATACCCCCAAAAACCTTGTTTGGTCTCTATGGCGCTACTGAACTCAGATCTAGTTATCGATTCCAGACGTTACCGATGGAAGGAGAACTCTCTGCATACCTAGAGGTCATCGATGAGCCTAGGGTCGTAAGCAATGCTCCCTCTGAGCTTTTGGAGTCTTGTGGGCAAAAATTCTACTTTGTGAGCCACTGGCATTAAACCTGGGAGCGAGGCGATTTGGCTGCTGCGTGAATTAGTTTGCTCTGGAGTCATCTTCCCTGAGCGAAGACAAAAAAGGTGTGAGCCAGAGGCTAGCTCACACTAACTCGGCTTGGAGGGAACAATGGATCAGGATGTAAGACGAGTCCTGCTGGACCAGGCCAGGGGTCCATTGGTGGCCGAACAAGAGCTTTCTGCTTTCTGCTGCATCTCTTCTTCTGTCTCCGGCTATCTCCCACTCCTAAAAAGTCCAGCTGACTGGTCGCCTGTGGCACCCCTTTCCCCACAGTGCTGTGCAGCCCACAGTGTGGAGGAGTTTAGGGAGGAGCACAGAGTGCATCAGGTAGGAGGTCAAAAGAGTTCATTGGAAGACTCCCGTTTCCCAGAGTGCCTTGGGCATATGGTGCCTGTGCACTGGTAGTCATACCTGCAGCCAGCTTTTGTATTGCCAGGTGAATAGCTTTTGTAAACCAGAAGAGCTTTGTAGGGTTCCCAAGTACTTACCGTGATCCGGCGGGGGAAACATGCTCCCCGGCCGGACCATTCCTCCCTGTAGCACAGCATTCTGTCGCCAGGAAGTGACGCTGGGCGACGCTCTGGCAATGGGTTGAAAACTCGATGGTACCATCGAGTTTCGAGCCCCATTGCCAGAGCGTCACCCAGCGTCACTTCCTGGTGACGTCATGGTGCGGCGCGTCTGTTGTCCCTGCAGGAATGATCCTGCGAAGACGTCTGTGTCCCCCGCCGAATCACGGTAAGTACTTGGGAAGCCTGGAGCTTTGAGTGTTGATTCCAGGCTCCTTTGGTTTGCCACAATTACCCAGTATGGGGGTATGAAGGTTTAGACACAGATTTGGAAGTTTTGTCTATCTTGGACAGTGTAGTTTGACTGGCAGCAGCCACCTGAGAACCTTTAATTGCAGGTGCTAGAGATTATATTGGGGACCTCCTGTGTGTAGTCAGTGAGCCTATATATACCCTGTTTCCCCGAAAATGAGACCTACCCCAAAAATAAGCCCTAGCAGGATTTCTATGCATTTGTGGTATACGCCCTAGTGTGTCTTCTTGAGAAAAAATAAATATAAGACAGTGTCTTATTTTCGGGGAAACACGGTATATATATGCTGACTGCTTTAGGCCAGTTCCAGAAGCCCCGGTTGAGGAGGTGGTGGACAGAAGGCTGTGAGCGCAGTTGTAGGCCGCGGGTGTCGAGGATGGTGCCTGAGCCGTAGAACCTGGAAGTCCTGGATTTGGAATCTTGCCTGTACAGCCAGCTAATTGGGCAGCCTTAGGCAAGCTGCTGTTCTTTTCACCCTCCCAGACTGCAGCGCACGGCTCATACTACTGACCTACTTTCCAAGGCTGTTGTGTGGATTAATGCAGTCGTGTTTTGGGAAGCGTTTTGAAACCTTTGAAGCACCGTGTGATGATTGCAGAGCGCCGTATTATGGAAACCCAGCCAGCGATAAGTCTGGCAGCCAGCCAGCGTCGCCGTGACCTGGATAGCCCAAGCTAGCCGAACCTTGTCATATCTCGAAAGCTGGGCAGGTTCGGCCCTGGCCTGTATTGGGAAGGGTGACCACCGAGGAGGGCCTCTCTGCCCTGTTGTTGGCCCTCCAGAGGAACTGGTTGAGGCCACTGTGTGAGACAAGATGCTGGACTAGATGGACCCTCACTGGTCTGATCCAGCAGGGCTCTTCTGATGAACTTATCAGGGGAAGGCCTCGGCCTCTCTGCCCTGTTGCTGGCCCTCCAGAGGAACTGGTTGGGGCCACTGTGTGAGACGGGATGCTGGACTAGATGGACCCTCACTGGTCTGATCCAGCAGGGCTCTTCTGATGATCTTATCAGGGGAAGGCCTCGGCCTCTCTGCCCTGTTGTTGGCCCTCCAGAGGAACTGGTTGAGGCCACTGTGTGAGACGGGATGCTGGACTAGATGGACCCTCACTGGTCTGACTCAGCAGGGCTCTTCTGATGATCTTATGAGGGGAAGGCCTCAGCCTCTCTTCCCATTTGTTGGCCCTCCAGAGGAACTGGCTGGCCACTGCGTGAGATGGGATGCTGGACTAGATGGACTTTGGTCTGATCCAGCAGGGTTTCCCTTATGTTCTTATGCGTGAATATAGAGGGACACCTACGGTGACCTTTCCAGGTCGTTTTCAATAAAAATCAGGGTCACTTCTAGTCCAGGCAAAAATATTCACTGAAACTCCACAGCGCAGGGTCTCCTTGTGGTTTCTCCTTGTGATTTCCTCCCCCCCCCCCCAAATGAATTGAAGAGTCTCAGGATAACAGCTCTGACCCCGAAAGATGTTGCTAGGTTCCACCCGAGGGTGTGACTGGAGCCCAGGTTCCGATCTGCTGGCCCCTGTGGCTTTGCAAGTGGTATGGCCTCTTTTCTGCAGAAGACAAGAGAGGGTGTCCCTCCCTGTGGTGCTCCATCAGAAGAAGTGCCAGCACACAGCCTCCTGACCGGCCCGCTTCCTGCCGCCTCTCCCCAACGTGTTCTCCCAGCCCTCCAGTGAAGAAACTTCCTTCCTCTTGACTCCTGGCAGTGCTTGCGCAGGAGGGAGCAGCAAGATAGCAAGCGGCCGGCTCCGCTCCAGGGGGACGGCTGGACCACACTGCAGTCCTGAGCGGTCTGATAGAATCGGAAAGGGGCTGTTGCCAAGCTTTACGCAGAAAGTGTTTAGGTTTTAGCCTCTTGAGCTGTGCCTTCAGCTGTATCACGGGACGGATGTCAGAATGGGCACGCAGGAAAGGCCAAGGGGGAGATAATACACAGCAACCCAGTGGGGGGCAGTTCTGTTCAGCTGCTCGGCGAGATGAGCCTTGTCCGTCTCTGGAGGCTTCGCAAGTCTCGGCTGCCATTTTGGTTCTGCCTCTTGCTGCCACGCTGACCATGGCTGCTTGGAAAACTGTCAGAACCACCGCTTGTAGGGAGCTGGCAAAAGCCGGTGAGTGCCGCTGCTTGTAGTTAACGTCTAACGTCAGTGCGGGAGTAACGATGACCCACGGTAAGTTCTGGGAAGGGAAGATGGAGAGATAATTTACGTGCATATTCCACGGCTTGTGCTGTTGTACTCAGCAAGTAGTCGAACGGAGAGGGTTTGCTGCCAGTGGAGGTAGCAACAGCTGCGAACTCAAGACAGCTGTAAAAAGGGGTTAGAGACCCATGAACACACGTGAAGATGCCTTATACCAAATCAGACCATTGGTCCCACAAGGTCAGGATTGTCTACACAGACTGGCAGTGGCTCTCCAGGGTCTCAGGCAGAGGTCTTTTCCATCACCTGTTGCCTGGTCCTTTTACCTGGAGATGCCGGGGACTGAACCTGGGACCTTCTGCGTGCCAAGCAGAGGCTCTTCCACTGAACCACAGCGCCTCCCCAGATTTATGGAGGAGAGGTCCATCAATGGCTGCTAGCCATGATGGTCAAAGGGAGCGTCCATCTACAGAGGCAGCAGACCACTGAGTACCAGTACTGGAAGGCAGCAGGAGGGGAGTTCGTTTCACGCTCTGGAGCAACCGGTTGGCCATTGTGTGAAACCGGATGCTGGACTCGAAGAAGAAGAAGAAGAAGGAGAGATTAGATTCATACCCCGTCCTTCACTTGGAGTCTCAGAGCGGCTTACAAACTCCTTTCCCTTCCCCGCCACAGAACAGACACCCTGTGAGGTGGGTGGGGCCGAGAGAACTCTGACACAAACTGCTCTTTTTCAAGGACAGCTGTGCCAGAGCTTGTTACTGACCCAAGGTCACATCAGCAGGTGCAAGTGGAGGAGTGGGGAATCAAACCCGGTTCTCCCAGATTAGAGTCCGCACACCTAACCACTACACCAAACTGGCTCTTACTAGATGGACTACGGGTCTGATTGAGCAGAGCTCTTGCGTTCTTATCACTGCACCGTGGTTAAGAGATTGAAAATGTTGTATTTGTGTTGGGTATGCATTGCCTTCACCTGTGAGCCTGTGAAGAGCAGAGTGTTTTCAGTCTTGCTAATCAAACACGCCAGTTTGGTGCAGTTGTTAAGAGCAATGGACTCTGATGTGGAGAACTGGGTTTGGTTCCCCGCTCCTTCCTCCACATGCAGCTAGCTGGGTGGCTTTGGGTCAGTTACAAGTTCTTTCAGAGCTGTTCTCTCAAGAGCCGTTCTCGAAAGAGCTCTCTCAGCCCCACCTACCTCACAGGGTGCCTGTTGTGAGGAGGGGAAGGGAAAGGAGATTGTAAGCTGCTCTGAGACTCCGACTGAAGGGTGCGGTACCAGTCTTTTCCTCTTGTTTGCCTTCTGTGGGTGCCAGCTACCATACATATTCTTCAGCATTATTTAGACGGCACTGAGGGTCCATAAACTGGGCTT